GGAAAAGAAAGAGGTTTCCTTGTTCTGTTCTGCTGTCTGAAGATTCAGCCACACTGAAAGATATTTGGGGTGATAAGTTTAAACTTCATAGTATGTTATTGCATTTATTTATTTTTAAAAAAAATCTATAATTCAGCAGAAAATTTGCATATTAGGAGCCCTGACTTGGATCTCTACATCTGATGCAATATTGATAAATTTCTGCAGAGGAGAACCACTAAGATTTTTTTTTTCTGTTAATCCTCCTTTCACTGGAATGCCAATGAAGGTATTCATTGTCTAGTGACAATATCTAGTGGCAAGAAGTTTATATTAAACCTAAAGTAAAACATATATCAAAATTACCTGGAGGAAAGACTGCTGCATGTTTCTTTGCATAGATGCATTTTCAGCATTTGGAATTCTAATGATCATGAATACTCCTATTCCTGAAAAGTCTACTGCTTCCAATCATTGTTTCTTGAAAATGTCAATGAAATAGATGTGCTCCACCCACCCTAACATCTGCCCAAGAAGAAAGGTCTTATTTTCTGTTTCTGGGATTGTAATTACATTCACAGGAGATGATTACATTAGAGAGGGAATATTTGATAAAATAGTGTGTTCCTATCATAACCTCATGATAACGCTACCCCTCTGTCTCACAAAATGATTTTTCATGTGCTTATTATTCCTACACACCTGTTGCTGATTAATGGCCTAGGATGCAAAGGGTTATACTTTCATTTAGTGACTCAGCCAGAGCTGTGAGCTCCATGAAAGGTTTTGCTGATGGGACCAAGGACTTCTAAAGATACATGTGAAAAAGAGGCCAAATTACACTTTTGCTATCTTAGCACTAAGAAACTAGTAAAGATTAATTGCCTGATTCTGTTGTTGGCCTGTTTGACAATCTTAGCAAGTTTGTTTATTTTTATGAATTCAGTTTTCCATTTTTACACTGTGTTTGTCGAGGGTTTGCACATGAAGTATAACATAACTTACCATGAGAGATTTTTCCAGCAGCTTTCATGTGATTACTTTACATGAGTAAATTTATGTGTAGGAATTTAATCCTGCATGTAACCTTATAAAGGCTTGGTGATAAAATAATATAAATATACACTGAAGTCTATTTTACTTCAAGCCATGTAAAAACATCAAGTGCATTCTGAAAGCAAACACACACACACACCTTTAAGCATAGGAGATCTGATTAAGAGCAAAGGTCTAGTGACTGACAAGAACCACCTTTATTTTGAAAATAGCTTCAAAGAGATTAAATCAATCAATAATGTTCCACAAGGTGTGAATGTTGCCATTACTTGCTGCTTAAAGTACAACAAAAGTCAAGTGTTGAAGTGTTTAATTTCTTCATGTATCAGGTCAGATTTTTTTTACTGGTGTAAGCTGGTATCAGTTTTCCACATACGTTTACAGATTTTTTGTGTTGCTGAAGATGACATGGCCTGATCAAAAATAGATAAATCTTCCCAAAGCCTTGGAATGGGTTTCCTGGGCTTGTGAGATGAGATGAACCCAAATCCTAGAAAGATGGATGAAGCAGAATCACTCAGTGAAACTTTTGTCTTCGGTCTGCTGAATCATGAAAGGTTATACATAAAATAACCCCATGCCATAATTCTTACCTGTGGCTGGTATGCCCAGAAACAAACAAGCAGATTCTGTGCTCATAGAGGGTAAAAGATGTATAAAAACATGTTTGAACCTCAATTCAGATTGGTGCTAGCAATCAATTGCAGCTCATAAATACCTCATTACTCAAACTAGAGTCTAAAGGGCCAAAGAAGCTCTTGCTGCTGGAGATGGATGTAACTAAAAAAGTCACTGGCTACTGAAAGCAGTGTGTTTTACTGAGAGAACTTGCTGTGGTGCTTATACCCATATAAACCAGTGTTTTTTTTAAATAGGATTGGACTTTCCCAAAGCTTATTCTTTTTGGAATTCTTATCTCCTCCACAATACTCTCAGAACTCAGGATTAGGACGTATTTGTAGATATTGTAAAGAAACTGTAGCCATCACTCCATTATTCAGAAGAATTCTGCTTTGAATACTGATTCATGATATTTTATTGTAATGAAATTGCTGGGATAAACACTAAAAAATATGTGAATTATTAAAGTTCTGGTAAGTTCAACTGGTATGCATTGGTATATTATTACTGGCTTTAGAGAAGGAGGAAAATATCTGACCTGCAATAAAATCCTTGGCTGTACTCCTTCTGTTTGTTTAGGCTATAGGAGATTTTATTTTTACATATCTACATTACTTATAGCAAAATGATGAACATATCTAAAAACAAATCAGCCTCTTACTGTATTACAGTTCTTGATTTCCTTTCTTTAGGCTGTTTCCTTATGTTGGTGTTTGCTGGAGATCACATGATGCTCCAGTTATGATTTATGCCTTTAATTGTGACAGATCAAAACTCAAAGTATTGATAGAGTACATTTATACTTTTCAAATTCTTCTAAAATGAGCAGGAGCTAGTATTTTGTAATAGCATTTTGTATTCTGGGAAAGTACCAATCATCAGGGTTCTATAATCTTTGTTAAAACAAGATGTTTAGGTTAGTTTTGATTCAATTCAATTATTCTGAAGATTGTTTCACACTTGAAGTATTAATGTGAATGTGAAGATAGAGGTCAGGTTTATCTTAAAAGTTTTCCCTTTTTAAGTGTGCATTTTAGTTCTGGAGAGAAATAAAGCATGGCCTAAAAATAAAAAAACGAAAGAGTAATGCTGAGAATAAAGCACTCAAAATAGAATATCTAGTTTTTGAAAAAGAATCATTAATAAAATGCAAATATTTTCTGTTGTTAGCTTCCCTAAAAATTATATATTGAATTAAACCCTGTGTTTCCTGCTTTAGAGAAGCCAGTAGTTACTGTTTAAGTCAATTAGCAGGGAAAACCAATAGGGAATATATTTCCTATACCACTTTGTTGTGCCTTAGACAGTGAAACATAAATGTAAGATCTTTCTTATTCTGTGTTAGTAAATTCTGTTTGGAAGTGCATGAAGAACAGAGAGATGCCTGCTGTATTAAAGTAGGAATGGGAACTTCAAGTTGGGGGAAACAGCACTGCATTGATCCATGCAAATTAAAGCTTAATTGTCTGGAATCCTCCCTTCAATTTTATTTGGGTCATTTACAGTATTGCATGAAATGGTGATAAATTTTTTAAGTATTTAAGCCAGAAATAATAGCTAGATGGGCCTTTAATTTCTTCCTTCACCTGTGGCTGTCAGGATTACTTCCATCAAAGTTTTGCTCTTTTTCATATTTCTCTGGAAACCTCTTGATCTCATTGCATTAGTTGTCTCCCTCCCTCAGTTAAATTCTTCATGTATTCCTGTCTGATAGTAATTTGCTCCTCTGGTTCAATGTATAGTCAAGAGAGTAATTTATTCATCTTCAACAGCACCACTGAAATCACAGAAGTACTTGATGCCCTGATTTATTAAGGCACTTGAGGTCAGTGCCTTAAGCATGTGCTAAAAATGAAGCAAATGCCAGCCTGGCCTCCAAAGGATTAGTCACCTGCATAATGGTTTGCAGGGTCCTTAAACATATGAACCTGTGGAACAGATTTGCTGCTGGTGTAAGGTTAGTGCAGCTGTTCTGGAAAGCTGAATGATGCTGAAAATACTTCCAGTGGAATTACAGAGAGTGTACCAAGCCTTTCCCTCTTCTCATCTTGTGCCATGTTGCTACTCTGTGGTGTGTAAAGATAGAAAATCAAAAGTTAGAAAAATATTTCCACAATTCTAATTGTTCAGGTGCTATTTAGGGTTCAACAGGACTATTGGCATTTCAATAAGAAGCTATGTTGTAGAGTGTATTTTTTTAATTATTGTTATTATTTTGTGGGGTGATATTGCCATGCTCTATCACATTTGTTTGATAACAGGACATCTTTGATGTCACTGCTAAGGAAGACAGCAACTGCAAATTGAATGAGACAAGACTTAGGTACCCTAGATTTGCAGGATAAGGTGGTTTGTATTAGGAAACTAGAGAGAATGAAACCATGAGGAAAAATAACAATGTATCTACTCAATCTGATTTTTTTTTTTTTCAGTGTAACAATGAACTTTTTTTTTCCCTCTTCCTAAGGAAAAAATGTGTTGCATTCCTTTCTTTATCATCTTTTTTTGTTCCTCATAAAGGTACCCCTCTAAGTCATATGTTGACTATGTAAATATATTCTTGCAAGCCAGGTGGCAAAATTTTTTAAAAGTTTAAGATCTACTTCAAATGCTCTATTCAACATGAATTCACAGTAGCTGTGTTGTGTGTCTTTTTGCTTTTAAAACTATAAAACTAATCCAATCACATTGGACAGATTGCAGATTCTTCTGTAGTGCTTTTTGCAGATATTTGAAACATTCTCTTTGCAAATTCTGTTTAAGATTGTTATGGTTTAGGGGCAACTTTACTGCATTTCAGAAATAATATCCTGTAAAATGTCTGTAACAAGGTATTTTATCTGAAAGCTCGTTGTAGCTTTCTTATTATGAGTTTCAAGCTTCTGCAACAACAAAAGGGTTCTTATTCAAATGTACACCATTGCATTCATTCCTCTAATAGCAGCATTCCATCATATCAGCCTAAAAATAGGCAAACAATTGCATGGAGTACTTGTTATTCATTCTCAATTTTTTTTTTAATTTTTTTTTGTTTGATATCAGACTTTTGGATAGTCATATGGAGTATTTGCATCAAATGCAGAAATAAAAAATTGTTTTCTCTTAGTATACACATGCTTTCTATCTGTGTCTCCTGGGGATATAAAAAGTTACTGTTTTAGTTACATTGGTCATTTTTATTGCCTTCCTGAAGACAATGGAAATTGCACAAGGCTCCATATGAAACTGTCTCCAAGTGTAAATTAAATCTGTGCTTTAGTCTGTTGTAAATAGAGAAGAATGTACTCTTAGATAATAAATCTTTTTTGTGTATATCAACAAGTTGTCTATTTTTTTCTTCCTAGATACACCTTTAGTTAAAATCATTTCTTCCAATTCATGGCCTGAAGAAGGACAATCTATAATTTTGACTTGTGAATCCAAAGGAAAACCAGTGTAAGTGATTTAACAAGTAATATGTTTTTTGTTATTTTACTTATTCTGCTGTGACTGCAATCCTCAGCTGCAGAAATCTGCTGGCTTTGTCTCCTCCTGGGGTGTAAAGTACTCTCTGCTATAGAAAACCCCTTGAAGCCTGTCTTCATTAAGTGTCTATAGAAGATTGGTCTTTTACTTTGTCATCTATTTTAGTTTTCAGGAAGAATTCCAGCTGTGAGATTTTTTTTATTTTTTTTTTTTTACAGTCAGGTATATCAACCTGAAAGGTGTGCAAGTTTAATCTGTCTCTGTGTACACTATTGGATTGATAGAGGAGAAAACATCTCATGAAAATCTTCCCACATCAGCCAGCCTCAGAAAAAATGTATTGAACTTTGGCTGCCATTTACAGGGGAATTTGAAGTTTAATTATGTGTGCAAGTTGGCTGCCTGTTTCTACCAAGATTTGGAAAGGTGTAGCCTGCCTTAAGATTATAAATTGTTTTCCTTGTGAATTAACTTCTTTTCTATAAATAAATATCTTTAAAGACAAATCTGCAGAGGGTAACCACCCTTGCACAGAATTTACTACTTAAAAAGACTTGACTCTTGAAAACAGTAACTGCTCAGAAGAGCTGTTATATATTTACACATAAATACATATATAAATAATCCAATTGCTTAATATTAAGTTATTATGAACCAAGTTTCTTAAATATTGACCTGCTCAAAAAATCAATATATAGTGTAGTGATGATACACAGATTTAGGATGGTCTTGAAGATGGTAATGGAATAATATTTTGAATCTAGTATCTAGAAAAGGTGCAAATTGCATGACAAAAATCATGTCACTTATGGTTGAATTTCTCCCTGGTGTAACTTTAGTGGCTTCATGGAATTGCTTTATGTAGGAGCCTGAAGTCACATTTAGGTCAGGTGAGGCATTTAAGTCCAAAATTTCTATTTTGAAAAGCTCTTCTGAGTTATGCCTGGCATAATTTAAACTCCATAGGTACTTTTCTTTTTTATGTTATGTGCCTGCATCATTTTAAAGCAACTCCTCCATCCAGATCTTGGCTGGGTCAGCACCTAGATCATGCTTCTTCCTTGCTTGAGACCAAAACACTGGAAGTCCATCTAATTAGTCTGACCTGATGGTCAATTGAATTGGTCTTCTGTGTACCTGTGTACTTCTGATGTGTGTGTTTCTGAGAAAAATACTTTTTACAACACGAAAATCCATTGTGAGCCATCTCTTGCTTTTATACCGTACCTGAAGGAGAAGGAATTATCCTTGAGCATTCCCCTGTGTATGAAGAGGTAGAGTCTGTTTCCCCCTTATTTTCAAAATCTGCTGAAGATGTGCAAGTGCTTAATTTTAGGAAAGAGGTCAGCACTGATTGCCCTGAGTTCACCATTTTCTGGGGGAAATATTTAGCATTTTCCTTATCTCAGTATTTTCCTCAGGACATGACAGGTGACAGCTACATGTGAAGTGCTCTCTTTGGCTAATACACTCGAGGCATTCTAGCCCCACTCAGCTCCTCACTCAACAGCAGGATCAGGGAAAGAATCAGAGGAGTAAAAGTGAGGTACCTTGACATACACAATATTTTCTATTTGGTACTCATTATATTATGGACATACTTTATACCATTAGGAGAAACTGGTTAAAGCTTAGTCATTAAAAGAGAGCTTCAGTTAAGGTGTGCACTGATTTGTTTATTTATTTAAAGCTGTGTTCTATCCTTAAAAGATTCAAATGCAAAACTTACATGTGGTTTTGAAAGGAAAAAAAAACAAAAACCAAAACAACAATCTTCACATTACAGAATTATCAAGAAGGGACCTGGATGTGGTAGCCTTTGGGGCACAAGTATTTCCCCATAAATATATTTGCCAATAAATGAATAAATGCACCTCTAATTGTCCAGGCTACAGGCACTGCCAACATCAGCTGCTCTGTATTGCTTCATTAGGTCAGTCTTGGATGGCACAGGGCCAGTAATAAATAGTAATAAATAGTAATAAATAGGCATCCTCCTGGGAGCAGTTTGCAGTGGCCTAGCGTGAGGAGCAGGAATGTCATGCTCCCAGCCTGCACTGTGAGTACTCTGGCTGGGGGAGAGGAACTGGAGAGCTCCACAGAGCCCAGATGTGTCAGTGTCACAAGGTGAGTGATGAGCTGTGGGCTTCACGGAGAGCTCAGGGCCAGCCATGCTCCATCACGGCTGTTTCCACGCTTTGGGTTAATTTCTGTACGCTTTATGTCACGGGTACAACAGTCTCTCCTGTTTCCTGCAGGCAGCAATCAGTGAGCACTTACTTGGAGGTGCATTTCTCTTGCATCCCAGAGCCATTTCCACAAGCTTCAAAATGACATTTGAGATGAAAACTGAGAAAGGGTGAAGCTAGGTGGTGGCTGTGGTGACATCGACAATACTGATAGCTGCTGCTGAGTAATTCCTTCCCAAAATGCAAAAAGCAGGATGAGACTACAATGTGCTTACACCATCTTACAGCTCATCACCAAGCCCTTCCTGGAAGGGATTCTGTCCCTCAAACCATGTGCATCATCGTTTCCCTGATTCTGTGTTTACAGTCCTGTGGAAAAGCCTTGCAGTCCTGTAGCAGGAAATGGGAGGGAAGGCTTGCTGAAACCAACACCTCTGGGAATTCAGCTGCACTCTGCATCTCCTGCTGAAACAGCATCCTCCAGAGATACAGCAGAGATACAGCAGAGGGACAAAGAACAGCTACAAACAGCTGTACTAGGGGTTACATCTAGGGCCCTGCTGAGGGCTCATTTAGGGTAATAATTTAGGGTAAAAGATTTCTCTTGGCCAGTCATTAGCCATGACTTTGGACAGAGAGAAAAAATGTCCTCAGACCCTTGGATGTGAGCAGCATCAGCTGTCACAGCGTGTGAGATGGGCTGGGATTATCCCAGGCTCTGAGGTTTCCAGTTGCTGTGGATGGGTCCATCTCACCCCACATTCTTGGTCTTGGAACAGAGATCCCAATGTTGGAACAGGGATGCTGAGAGTGGGCTAAGGGGGAGAAGCTGGGGGCGTGGGAGAGGGGTGAAAAGGAAGATGGAAAAATGGTTCAGCGAGGCAACAGGAGAGGGTGTAAGACAGACTGCACTAATTCTGTAACTGTGCTGTTTTGCCTCTCTGCTCATCACTGGGAGGATGAGGATGGCTCTGGCTCCCTGTGCTGATTTCTGTCACTTCAAGGCAGGAGCTGAAAATGACTTTCTTGTGGGTAACCACTGTGGTGCTGCTGTGGAAGTGGGACAATACCAATAAAAAGAGCAGGCCAGGCTTCCTGCCTGTTCTGTGATGGCTTTGCAGAGGAAGGACATGTGGATCTGATGATGTTCTGACCCAATTGTGCAGCTCTTCAGGCACCAGCACTAAGAAACAGCAGCAGAAGGCTGGTGTTTGGAATATTGTATGAATAAATCTATGACATTTTCAATTAAAATTTTCTGTCGATGCAAAGGAAAAATGTAAATATATTCATCAGCTTACTGCAGAAACATGACTCACTCTAGGTGTATACCCAGTTATGTGTATTATTTTAAGGGACCTCAAGACATAGCATTTGTGAGGATTTTGTCCAAATGCCCAGTTGGTAGAACAAATTGAAGAGTTTTCTTTTGGGAAACTTTGAATTGGTGTATTTGTGTTACATTAGTCTTTCCTTTTGCAAGACTCAGTCACTGATTTCTTCCCCCTACTGACAATTTTGGTAATATTGATGTCCAGGGTTGTTGTATTTTGTTTGTTTTGGTTTGTTTTTTTTTTTCTGGGTAAAAGTGTATTTAGCCATTTCTCTGCATAACTGAGGTCAAGACACTGTACTTGATATCACTATTCAACAGCATTCCCTTTTTGGAGGTACTGTTGTGCAGTTTCAAACCAAATTGAATCTCTTATCTTTTCAATTCTTAGCACTGTTTACTTTTCCAGTTCTTTTGGCTGGATCTCTGGGCAGTTGTCAGTCTGTAACATTTTCATCAATGAGCTTGCCTAATATATCTGTAAGGTGGTGTTGAATCTTCTTAATTTATTTCTTCTTTTAGCATAATATATAGTTTTACCAAGATTTTGTTTATTTTCCCAAGAAGGAAATGTAATTAAACTTCAGAAATCATAGACATCCTTTTTAAGTAATGTCTAGACTTTTCTGAAGTCATATTGCCTGACAGTATTTTAAAATAAACACGAGGTAGATGTAAAAAAATACAGAAAGTGAAGAACAAAATGGTCATTTAGAGTTATCTGTGCTTACAAAAACTTTTAAAAGCCGATGTTTTCTTGTTGCAAGATGTAACTTCTATACACTGTTGTATCTTAACAATACAGTCTCGTGACTCAAAACTGCCCCAAAAGTAAATTCAAAACCTGACCCATAATGAAAGAAAGGTTCAATATTTAATATTCTTAGTACTCTCATCAAAGCATGCATGAAATATGTGGGGTTTTTATGTCAGTGTCATTTCAGGAGAAAGGACGTCAAAATATAATGGAATAATTAGGGCACAGGAAACAAAGAGAGGGTTAGCTGTCTCCTGTGTGCTTTAGAGAAATGTCTTTCCATTCCATGCAGCTCAGGGGAATCATAGTGCAGTTGGTTGACTAATATAAAGTGAATATTTGGCCTTGTTTGAGATAAATAGGGAAGATTTTTATTTCAGAAAACTTGCATAGGTATCCCTCATTAGAATAACATGATTTGTGAGCTCATGAGAGTTATAGAGAAAAGCACAACCAAAACCAAACACTAATATGTACAGAGTAGTATAAAGTATGAACAAATAAACATTTTACTGTGAGAAATAGTGTTCACTTTTAATAATGAGTGCCTACCAAGGAGCCAGGCTTGGGCTATAAAGTCATTGTAAATGATGGTGGTGGTGTCTCCACACTGTGTCCTCTCTTTTCTAGCATCTGTTTGAAGAAGACTCCCTTGAGTGAGACAAACGTTTTGCAAAGGCTGCTGGCAACA